CATCTTAGGTTTAGTTTCATATTTAAAAATGAATTTGTTCTTTTATTATATTTAAAAGGTGACTTTTAAGGCTTAAAAGAGTTTTCCAAGAATTGTATTTCTGCGCCTTACCAGAAATGAGTAACTGATAAATCTTCCTTTCTTTTAGCAAAGTTTAGCAGAGATTATTACATACTCTTTTTTCGAATCTAGAAAAATAAAATTATTTTAACTTTTTACATTTTTAACATTTTTACAATATCCCTATAAATGATGATAAATTCAGAAATACAGTGAATTTTTACTTTACTTCTGAGTAGTAGTATCTGAACGTTATACATCATCTGTTTACTTCTGAAATCATATTTTAAGTAGTATCTGAACGCTATTTATTCAGCTGTTTTAAAAAGCAATATAGTTGGTACAGACTGATATATACTGAACGAACTATATATAGAAAAACTTCTATATTATAACATGGCTTAATTTATCAAACAATTATAATTTAGATTTTTTTATAATTTCATTTAAAATATTGGTTTAAGTTTAGTTATTCATGGATAGAAAAAATATTCTCACACAGTTTTGTAGTTTTAAAATGATTATACTAGCATTTTTCTATTCATTGAAATCTTAGTCATGGATTTAATCTGATATATGTCACCAAATACCACGGCACATATTCGACTTAATTATATTTATTCTCTTCAATGACTACAGTTAAATAAAACCATATGTAAAATAAATATGAACTATATACTTATGTAGAGTACCTAAGATGAAACGAATTCCAGTAAAGCGGTAAATAAAGGTAATGTGAGCAGTCAGGTACTGAAATAGTTTTACTAAGTAAGATCGTTACTTAGTAAAATTAATTTAACATATTTTACATATTTTCAAATATTTGCAGAAATAATCACAGAAACAGTAAAAAAAAGTGTTTGTTTTGCAATTTTATTCTCTTTACAAAATATGAACTCTTTGAGTGCTGAGCTCAGCTATCAATAATACCTGTTAGATTTGAGATACATATGAGAATAAATAACGGAGTTTAGGATTTGTAATTGTTTCTGCACAGAAAATAAAAATTTAATGAAATTTAACGAATAAATGCTAAAATCGTTATGCAAATATAATACTTCTATATTTGGTTGAAATAATTTTTTTGACTTTCTAGAAGTTAGAATTTTTGTTGGGAAGGTGTTTTTCTTAATTTTATTTAGTTTTTTTTTTTAATTTTTTTTTACTGATCAAACCTCGTTTAAAAGACCCACCAAATTTTATAGCACCGTTAAACCGTTAAACTTATTAAGCGATTAGCTTTCCGTATATTTTACTTAACTGTGGTATTATTCTTTCTAAATTTTATCTCATAATCTGAAATTGTTTTGTGTTTATTTAAATGACTTTGATCGAAAATTATATAAGATATACATAAGTTTTAAGAAGAAACTCGTTAGAATTCTTTAACGTTTTTGTTTTTTTCTGTTTGCTTCAGGCGAATATGAATCCATGATTTTATGTTATTTGATTGTTAGACAGACGTCGTTAATTTTTTTTTGAATTTCTTCAATCAAAGATGCTCACATATAATTTTCTTCAAATTGCTGTTTTGATTTCAAAGCGAAAGTTTGGTAAGCTTTTTTTTTAATTTTTTATAGATTCAAATATATAATTTATTGAATTTCATATAAAAATATTTTTTGTGCCATAAATAATCTGAGGTCAAACTACCCACCCACCACATAAAATTGCTGTGTGAAAGTGTTATTCGACATTAGCGAGCATTTGACACCGGAAGAGCGAATATTTCAAAACCGTTAAAGTTAGAAGAAAAAAAAAATAAAAATATTATATGGAAAAAAATAATAAACCGTTTTATTAGAAAAAAACTAGCAGGATTTAAGGTTTAAAAGATTTTTGGTATTAGCATAGATTAATTTTTTTCGGTTCGATGCAGTCCTATACACATATACTCATTTATATATATGTGCATATAAATTATTTCACAAAAAACATATTAAAAAATTAAAATAAAATTTAAGATATTTTAAAAAGTAGCCATAAAATCAACAACACTCCTAATTTTATAGAGTTCAGTTTCATTTAAATGCACAATAAATTAATTATTAGTAGACAATTTAATTATTTGATCATTAAAACCTTTTTACTAAAGATTACCCTAAACTGACTTTTAAAGACTGGTTCTTAACTTATAATAATTGAATCGACTTTAAATTGAATTTCAATAAGTAAACATTTAATGATTTATATCTTCAAATCTATTCTAATTTAACATAAACTTATGGTATTTGCACATATTTTTTGTTTACATGAAGTTTGTTGTTCAAGTCTATTGTTTGTTGTTGATGATTGTTCTCATATCTGGAAAAATGTGTATTACACATTGTAAGCAATAATCAATTTTAAAAATATATATATTTAGATCTGTTAAGATCAGTTTAGATTTGCTTTGTTTGCATAGAATAGCAATAAAAAATAACAAACCTCATAGCCTTGGAAGTCTTTGGAGTGCTTTGGTGTGCTTTGGCAGTCTGCATAAATACTACAGCAAAATGATTGAATGTTGCGAAGCCTCGTAAAAACAACAACGAATGCTTGCTTGCTGTACATGTGAGTTGCCTACAATCTCAATAAGTTTCCTGAGCTAAAATTTCGTATTTACTTATGCATACGAAAATCAAATAAAAATGAAAATTCCTTTTTCTTTCAGTTACTCTTCACTAAGGCGGCTCAGGTACTCGTTGCACTCGTACCTGGGTCTGCAGAATATCAGAATATATTCGCTAAGTAGAACAATCGCTGGTTGTTGCAAGTGGGTAAATACAACTCAGTGCAACACAGTAAATGATGCCCAGAACATCATCAACATGTGTGTTTGCTATGGCAAATTGTATGTTACAAACAATAAACATTAAAATTTATGATATTTAGTGCTTTTTTTTGTTTTTTCTTGGTCTCTAGTTGTTTTCATTTTTTAACAAAACATTTTTAACAATTTTCCAAACGTGAACTTTTTCTTCTGTGTACTCAGTGTACTGCTGCTTCTTATATTGCGTGGTGTAGTCCACAAACTGCAAGGGCAAAAACTTTATAAATAAAGGCTAATAAAATTTAATGAAGCTTCTTTGCAGTTGGCAACAAAAACAAATTAAGATAAAAAATGTTAGAATAAAAACAAAAGTAAAACTGCCACTTTTCAATGTAACTCAACCCATACAAGTTGAGGAGTCCAAGATTTCGCATCATTAATATCACGTTAAATGCCTGATTCTTCCGGTATTTCAACATTTTTGGTATTACATAAGGAGGAACGTATGATGCAATGTATGATAATCTTCCACCATAGGTTTTAAAATGTTCTTTAACCTTTACCGCACAAGTGAATTAACCTTTTCTATGAAAACTTAACGCGTTAACATTCGTGTTACTTTCGCAACAATTAAAAAAAAAAAAAAATATATATATATATATATATATTGTATATTTTTTGCGATTTTAACAGATAATTTACACTTTTTACAACAGATAAGAACATGAAAATGTTGAAGTTAATTGGTCAAATTCATTTACATTTTACTTTAAATAAAAATTTTGATCATTATAACTAAGCCACAGAATTTTAATTATTATTTTAAAATAATTTCAAATTAATAGCAATTAATATATATTTAACACATTAAATATAAACTCCTAACTAATGCACATTAAAAGAAAAACCAGACATTAAAAATGTTTTTTTTGACAAACTGGAAAACACTCGTATTAATTAAATTTTTTTATTTAATTCATATTGAATTATGTATATAAGTGCTCTCACTGCACTCGCTGATTTAGTCAGTGCTTATCTAAGCGTATATGTACCTATGAACACAGTCACAGTGCCACCCAACAACACTAAAAACGAGAAAAGAAACGGAAAACTAACCAGAATAATGATTAAAATTAAAAAACTCCGAAAAAAAATATTAAATAAGTAAAAAGTGCCAGCTAATGGTACTTAAAACCGATATACAATTTCACAAAACAAAGAAATCTTTGTATAAACATTTTCCATTGTAAAAGGTAATTATTCATATGAAATTTTTTTGGCAAAAACAAGGACTTATAAGCGATGTAAAAATCCTTCCAATTGAACAAGACAGACGCATAGGACTTTATGACTTTATACATTCATACTATATATTTTAATTTATTAAAAATATGTTTACAGCCAGCTAATAAATTTTCAATTAAAAGAAAAATTATTTGAAATACTTTCCTTGTGTTTAGCTGTTACTTTTTAAAACTAATAACAGCGTTAATTTCATTTACTAAAATAGTTGTAATACTAAAAACGATTTACTGTAAGTAAATACTTATTTGAAGTCGAGTCTATTTCTTTAGAAAAATATTTAGGTTAAAGTTCGATACACTTTTTACGATTTCAGTTCCTCAATCAAACATTTCAATCGCATTTTTACGTTATTTCACTATTTGTAACCAACTTTGTAGCCAGCTTTGGTAAAATAAAATTGTTAATTATATTTTTAATAAAATCACTAAAATACCAAAATGAATTTAGACTCAATAAAAAAAAAGCATCTTAATTGAGATATAAACATAAAATATCTTAAAGATCAGGCAAATTGTGAAACAAGAATTCAAGCTCACACTGTGCAACTTAATAGGCTGACCGACTGTAATAATATGGCCACATACTCGGGGTATCAGCCACATATCGTCTACGGTAGCTCGTAAGCAGTTCATTTAGAGTATGGCGGTTAACAAATTAAAAGCTTAAAGTAAAAGCAAATTTAGCCTAAAGATTTCAGTTATGAAATTAAGTTTTCAAAAGTGAAGCCTAAGGGCGTTTAAAACGCCTATTTTATAGCAACAAGCCACAACCAACAATAGCAATAAAAGCAACAATTTAAAAAACTATTTTTGTTTTTAATTTTTGTAGCTGAACCTAATCTACACATTTTTTAACTTTACTTGGTAATTTCTGTTTTTTGCAGGCAGGCATACGAAGGGAAATTAAAAATTGATATCCAGCAGCAACAACAATGCGAAAGAACTGCAGTAACACAATACGCAAGATGCCACATATACCCGCAGCGCTAGTCTATTTGCTGCTTCTGTTTTTTAGCAATACAATTGCAACAACAAGTGCTCTACGACGTTCTCGTATCGATGCAGCAGCTACTGTTTCAGAGGCTAATGGCGACAGTTCAGCTTCAGCTGCGAGCTTTGAAAACTTACAACAAACTCAGCAAACATCAGCAACAGCAGCTACCTCAGCCCCGCTACTGCCACAATCATTGCCACTTGCGGCAACAGCACTCGCTGATGCTGATAATATTAAATCTGAGCCACTTAGGCCTGATCAATCACCGAATGTCGCTGGGGTAGCCGCTGCTGTTGCTGCACTTACAGGCACAGAGACAAAGAATTTCATTGATACAGCGGCGTCGGCACTTAAAAAGGAGCAAACAATAAATGCTGCATCATCATTATCATCATCGTCATCGTCATCGCCATCAACATCAACATCGGTTTCTGCATCTGCAACAGCCGGTGAAATAGGCGCTACAGGAGCTGTAAAGCCTGCCGCCGACGCTATAACATTCGAGAATAAATTACTGAAGGAAGAAAAAGAAACGCCAACAGGCATTGATATTCATGATTTGGAACACGATGATAGTTCGTCGAGTACAGTCGACGGCATTGGTGTTGATGAATGTGAAACGGATCTGGTTGGATTCGAAATTATAACAGGGTAAGTGTGTTAATTAAGGTAAATACATACACACAGTACTGATACAACCATTACACCATTAAACTGAATTCGCTTCATTCTCTATGCCTGAGCAGTGTGGGGTCTCTGCCAATGAGGATTTTTATAGTTTTTCTGTTTCTGTGTTTATTTTTCACTTTAATTTATAGTTTAAATACCAGACAAGTATAATGCACTAAGCGATAATAATACTAGGTGAGTTGCTGTTTATGTTGTTGCTGCTGCTGCTATTATTAGTTTTGTCATTATATTTTGCTTAAGCAAATATTAGTTCAACAATTTTCATCATCATCAGCAACCTAAGAACATCATATTTTTTATGTCAACACATTGCATACAAAACATGAAGGTAAAATAAACAAAACGATATTTTCGGCAATAGAGTTATCAACAGTGCGCTACTCTACAATCTACATTGCAATCAAATACATATTACAACAGCTTGAGCATTAGCATCCCTAAATAAAGATATTCTTAAAAATGTATGTATTTTTTTAGTGCAGATCAGATCAAGTGCTAGGTACGAGCAACGAAATACAATATTATGCTGCAAGTTAGAAACAACATGCCGTAGATCAACAACCGTAGCTCAAAATCGAAATAAATTTAAATTCATCTAATCTAAATCTCAAATAAAGAAATAAAATATCTCAGGACCTTAGTATTTAAAAATTGATTGTAAAAATAAAGGATGTCGAAATTTTGGCTTTTATTTCTTCATTCACTTATTTGTATATATCCAGATTAAATTTTAAAGTTTTTAATGGAGTGTTGAATAGAGTATTTACTTTACTGCTACTGCTTCTATGATATGATGTGAACCATTAAATTTTGCAAAGCATATTTGTTGGTAATTTCAACTGGTAATAAATGTATATACGAGTATATCAAGAAAAGAACTCAACTAAAAAGCACAAAAACCCTATTAAAAAAAAGGTGCTAAACATGCTAAAGCAACTCGGTTGCTGTTCAATTTAAGATACACATTCGCAAAACCATTTTCAATTACAATTAGCAGTCTTGTTCTCTGTGCATGGAAGGAGCTTCTCTACAAATCCTCTACAATTTCCAATCAAGTGAACATTCAACTTCATCCATAATCTATCTTAGTTAACATAAGTTGAATGTAAATTAGAGCAAACATATTCGCACGTATCTCGGCAAGCATGCAAAGCTAATACACATCATAAACTGGTAATCTAAAGCAAGCGACCAAAAAGGTAATACTAATTATCCGATGTTTTCTAAAGAATTAAAGAACTATTTTTATAACTTCTGTGCAGCTTGCCAAGTGCCGAACAAGGCATGCAAAAGCTACGTGGCAGCTGGAAGGCACCAAATAAATAAAAACAAAATCTGCTCTCAATAGAGAAGTGGCATTATTAGCGGCATTACAATCGCTGCCACAATGATAATAGCATTAAAGTTTTAATAATAAAGCCCATAATGGAGATGATATGCATTAAAATTAAAGGAGAAGAGCAGAAAAGATGAACATAATCAGAACGAACTCAAAATTATTTTTATTTTAATTTTATAAATAAAATTTTTGTCAAATGTCAAATCAAATGACTTGCAAAGGTAGGGAAAGAATAGTATAGTTTGAGAGAAGATAGTAGTTAAAAAATCTATTTAGAAAAAATAGAAATTCTCTTTAACAGACTTCCTATCTGCTAATACTATTTTAATACGATATACTGATATACACAGACGATTATTTTAAATAAAATTTGTTATGATCGACATAAATTATAAAAGCCATCTCTTTGCTTTATTACACAGATTTTTTCCACTTACAATGAAAGTATCTTTTAACACTTTTTTGCAATCTGCAATCATAAAGTTATTTCACTTCAATAAAAAGTCGATTCGCAGAAATTGCAGCAATAACTCTTTTCTACTAAGCGACAGCCTACAATCCCTTAGGAGTCATAAAAACTCACAACATATGTTGCTGCAATGATGCTGCAACACAAGTTTTAAATACTTTGACGAAAATAGTTGCGTGTATGTGCTAAAAGGACAAATTGCAAATCCGTAATGGAGTAGCACTATGTCCACTTACATTATAGAGATACAAATGCATACTTTACCATATACGTAAGAAAACTAGTTACATCTAATTTATGAGTACACATTATGGCTACAGTAACTTCGCCATGTAGCCATGTAGCCATTACCAATAACAAAATGTTAGTTTTGGATTTGGAGCTTACCTGCAAGAAGAAGATAAAAAAATAGTTAAGAATATTTTTACAACAAATTTTAAGAGATAAATATTTTTATATATTTATATTTCATATGTTACATTTCATTATGTTATATTTTATAACAACAAATACACAACTTAAACTGGCTTCCTATCCTTTCTCAAATATAATATAACTTTTTATCTACTCAGAAACAGAAATCGGTGTAAACTATTTCTAATGAAAAACCAGAAAAATAATAAAGTAGCTAATTCAAAATCAACTAGCTTTATCTGAAAGGAAATGTACTTCATCCTACTCCTTCATAGCGGACCCATTAATATTGACATTGACTAATTAAATGATAGAAGTACAGCTTTTACTTAATAAGAATTTAATGTATTTACCGTTTGTTTCCTGAAGATTATGTAGACCACACAGGCAATTGCAATTTCAGTTCGTCATGTAATGCTGTGCAGTTATTTTATTAATTATACTTAGAACATCCCAAATACCAGAGACCAACAGTTGTCCAAAGACAACTGCTGAAAGAGCATACAAGTAACCACAACTCACAGCCACGACATTATCAATCATAACTCAACAAACGAAGTTACAATTACACAAATTAAATTTACTTTAATTATGCATTACAGCGCAAAAAAAAATATATATGTATATAAGAATAACTAAATTAGGAGTTAAGAAGTAGAGGCATAGAGGCAAAGAGGCAGCTAACACGTATCTTACAGATTTATTCCTCAGCAAATAATGTTCAATTTATGTTTATTCATCTCATTGCAGATATGTTTTCTCAGCACCGGGTAAGCTGTTGGACTCGTTGCCAGGCACTCTGATGTTGACTGATTGTTTGGAGGCATGTCAGAGCAATGAAACTTGTCATGCGGTTAATTATGAAACTGGCTTATGTGTGCTATTCTCAGCAAATGCAGATAAATTACCAGGTTGGTTTTGTTTACATTAAATATTAGTTATAGGTTAAGACAGCTAACGAAGACATAATTATTTAAAGATATTTCGAAAATGAGCTGTAGCCGTAGCTACAAGTACAGCAGAGAATGTCTGCAATTACATGCCTCATGGGCAGCACAGATTATGAGGAATTCACTTAATATTATTATATAGGCTACAGTGGCTAATAGGTCTTAATGAATAATTATAAATGCACAGCGGTATTATTCAGACGCATACGCATATTTGTGGATGAATTGTTGATTGAAATATGTGTTGACAATATTTTTCAGTTAAGATATCAAAATATTCTTGCATTATTCTTGCATCAGCTCTTGAATGAAAATATAATAGTCCAACATAATACAGTTAAGTGTATCTTTTGTATAAAAATAGAATTGTGGTTGATAAACCGGCTATTTTCATAAAAGAGAATATGATATATTTAAATACTAATGACACGCAAGATCACATAGGAAGAAAATTATTTCCAATATATAAAGAGGGTACTCATTCAGTAAAAAAATGAATAAAATAAGAAAGATATACGAATTAATACTCCATTTAAAGTAAGCAAGGTAAATGGTGCTTTCTTTAATGCTACAGGCGATGATGTACTATCCATTATTTGGATAGTACAAATGATGGATAGTACAAATTTTATTGAATAATAATTATTAGAAATGAACTTTTGTACCTTATAACACTATTTGTGTTACCTCCAGCTCAAAAAGTACACGGATTTTGTTAATAAAACACACAAATTTAAGTTTTATTCCAAATTTATTTTATCTCCTTCAAAATATGCTCTTTCTGAAGCGATACACATATGCCAACGCTTAACCCAATCTTCCATACACTTTTCGTAGGCCCGTGCAGGTATGGCATTTAGTCGATAAATAAAGTGTCGTGTCGATAAATGCACTTCAGGTAGTCTTACATTAACAGCTGTTGTAAACAAATTAATTGACAGATGGCGCCCAAATTTGTACCATATGTCAAGAAAGGGTGTACCAACATAACAAAAAAATTTTTGAAAGAGGTCTATTACTCAAGGAGTAATTAACAAACAACAAAATCCGGATACTTTTAGAGCAGAAGGTATATCTTAAATTTTAATGTAAATTAAATTTATAACATACTATACCTACGTAAACAAGTATAAATTACTTAATGTATTACACTTTTCTTAGCGATATTTTATATACATCAGATATTCAGAATAACAATAAATTCAAGTTCATATACACTACAAACCCATAAAAATAGTTGAAGTTAATCGAAAATCATTATAAAATAATAAGATGAATTTTGATGAGCAACAAAAGCAAAGTGCCTTAAAATAACTTGAGGTGTTACAATTCATGCCATGAAATAAATATTTTTGTTGCTTCAATGACTTATACTTATACGCAAAAGTTGAGAAGACTGGGACTTCAATTCCCAATGAATTGGCAAAACGAATTTCAGCTAATTTACGCGTTAAGCTAAGCTTCTAGCAATCCAAACAGCACAAAAAATTTGGGCGCAGCGTGAATTAAAATTAATTGAAAGCTCGTTGCCGAAAAACATTTTAATTTGTAGTTGCGAACGGTTTTTTCCATGTCTAAAGACTAACAACACCTCTAATGAAGCTAACATAGAATTAGTCAGACTGCTAAGTTGTTAGCTCCATTTTTCTGTTCGCTTTTAGCTGGGCATTTGCCTTTGTGCCTTCGTACCTTCCCGGACAAACAGTAGCCGCAGTAGTAATTTTTGCCATTAAACAATAATAAATTTTCATTTCGCATTCGAACTTTGGCAGATACAAAGTAATTTTGATTTATAAGATACAATTTTAATAATATTTCATAATACTTTATATCGTATCAAAATAATATTTAATAAATAAATATTTCAAATATCTTCATCGTACAGGTGCACTGACGAAATCTCAATTCCCAGTCTTCACCATTTATGCGCAGAAAACATGTCTGGGGGTACGTCCATGCGCACGTGCCTGGTGTGTGGATCGTGTGCAGGGCTACAAGTTGAATGGACATGCAAGACGCAGCCTGCCAGTGACATCGAGACGTGATTGCTTGGAATTGTGCTTAGGAGAAAATGAATTCACATGCCGGTAAGTGAAAAAAATCAAAGCAAAATTCTGCTGTAATTGTGTTGATCAATATGTGGACTCTCCATTAAAACAAAGAAACTATTTTGAAATGCTGTTAAAAAAATATCGTTTAAATGTGCAGATACGCAGATACACTTCTTAGTGCTTTCCTCATGAAGGCGCAAAATTCCTAGTTGAACACCTTCTCACCTATTAACGTGATAACAGCAATTACTGTGCTAAAGTGTTGTTGTACAAGAAATCCACTGTCGATAGCATTTAATCACCTGCGTGCCTCACTGAGATTTCATTAAGATTTTAACCTTTCATTCGTAGGCTTTGCACTGCATTTGAATTTTTTGCCTGCCATCAAATTAGCATTGGAGTTGGTGAGAACCGCAAATTTCCTGTGATTAAGATATGAAAACATGTTGACTGACATAGTTAAGAGCTCTTTGCCTTGTCGATAAGATAATGTAAAAGAAGCTACAAAGTAGTACGTGTACTGTTATGATTACTTCTGAAGCGTTTCGACGGCAGCATGCAAATTAAAATTCAACTCTCATATCGTGGTAAACGTGTCTGTGAGTTGAGTTGGTTTCTGGGTACGACAGGAAGAGATGCAGGTTCTTGAAGTCTGCGCGGTTTGTGACAATTATTTGATCGGTCAAGGAAATGTGTCTGTTGTTTATGTTGTTTCTGAAATCTAAATTCTTCCTTTTCGCATATCATGTTGCATGCATTTATGCGTAATTTAAACTCGATGCAAAAAAATATTATGCAATTCATAATTTAATTATATCGAGTCAAGTACCGCCATTGGAAACTGGTTTAAGAAATTGATCACGTAATCGATTTCCTCAGATGATTTTTTGCAGTAAAAACATCTTATCAATTAGTTCATATTAAATTTGTTCTTTATGTTTAATAAAATCATGTTTTTTGTTAGTAGAAGTTTCAGTAGAAGTTAATGTGAATTGCGGGTATATACAAACAGGAAGTGATTACTTATACAAGTAAATAAAAAAAAAACAAATTATATAGGACACATTTTTATTATCAACCGATATTAGCAAAGAAAAAAATCTGCTACAAAAAACCCACAGTCAAAACTCCCTAAATATCTTAAAAATGATAAATATCACATACCAATTTCAATCTACAAAATGAACTCAAAATTCTACTGGGCACAAATAAATTCATTATGACTTTCTAACACAAATCAACAAGAATTGGTCAAATCTTATTAAAGCATCGAGGTTAAGAACAATATAACACCTTATCTAGTTCTAAACTTAATGAGAGGAAATAAAATGGAAATTTATAAAATAATGTCGATACTCATGGGCTAAACTATAGAACCCCATCACAACTTCTGCAAATCATAATTCTAGTATGTGGAAGCATGCACTAAAATAGGTTTCGACACAATTTAGATATATATAAATGGCAAGACTATAGCATATAAACACGCTATTACGTAAATGAATCCGTAACATCTCCAGTTTAGAAATAAGTTTAATACTAACATTCAGCAAGACAACTGGCTTCTCCCATAAATTACAAAGAATTACAGAAATATAAAGTGCTTTAGAGGTAAACAAGAAAAATCGACCTTCTTAGACTTCGCCAACCTATCTACCTGATTAGGTATAATAACGAAAGCAGTAGCAAAATCAACCTAAATTTTGAGTTGCATGCATATAAAGTTTGGAAGAATCATAAACTGTTCTCTTCATATATCTTTAATTTCTAAAAAGATCGTAGCGACGTTCTACTGTTGATATATTAGAAGACCTATAGAATTCATTAAATCTATAATATTGTATTTAAAGTAGTCGTACATATACATAAAATTCTTCTTTTAATCAAACTGTGCATTTCTATGACTGTGATCGCATCAATATTTCTGGGATTATACTCTTTTACCAATCCAATAATGCAGCAATTGTGCAGTTAACGGTCGTTTTATAAGTTTTTTTCTGGCAAGGCTATTCAAATACGTTAAAGCCAATTCGCACTTCTTCACCCACCGCGGTAAGCCATTGTATTACGGCTGCTAAAAAAATTCAATAAATCATTTCAGTCGATTTATAATAAAATTGCTGATAATATGCAATCGATTGAAAGCGCGAAGCTTTTTTAAATGGAGTTTGGTAGCAAAATGTAGCCGATAGAAGCTGTCGATGGATGTTGGATGCCGCGTGCAGCATGATACATTGTACAGTACGCAAAAGTCAATTCCAGCGACAGGAGCAGCAAGCCACAAGAACAGTTATTTCCATTACAACATTTTATTTTATTTTATTTTATTTTTTTTAAATATTTTTTCCACTGATTTGATTTTCAAACACAGGAATGGCAACTCAATAAATGCGTTGGCGGAATATCATTGTGTAAGCCACTACGAACCACCTTGAGAAGCACGGCTGCAATCGGTAACCTTTTAGTTGGCCTATATATTTTTTGCTATTACAACAGTGCAACAAGGTTGGAAGGAGGAGAGCACGCCTAAATTGTGTGTGCTTGCTTGCATATTAGAAAAATTACAACAATAACAACAACAACAGCGGCAATTGTTGCCGATTTCGTATTCTTTTCTCATTTAGCCATTTTAACCATTTCTTCTATTGGCCATTGTTAATGTGTTTTGAAGCTACTAGGTTTGCTCGCTGGCAAGGCTTTTATTAGCTGCGGCGATCGCTATCGGTATTTGGTAATGCAGTTGATTGCATCAAATCGAGGTGTTTAATGATAACTGTGCCTATAAGGGGATTGTATGTTTCTATGTCCACAACTGACCGCTTCAGGTCTTATTTCTGATTATTTGAGTGTGCCGAACTGCTCGAATTTATTTTTAATGGTTCTGTTGCTTTCGATTTGCTTGTTGAAATAAATTAGTTTTAAATAACATTCAGCATTAGGCTGGAATGCACCTCCTCCCATATATCAGGATTGCACTGTTGGACTGTTACTTTGATTTCGCAATTTCAATTGATTTTAAGTGCTACATTTCTGCATTTCTCTGTCTATTTCTGTATTTCTGCGGTAGCATCGCGCTCTTAACAAATGCACTCAGAATGCAATTCTTTTCGAATAATTTGTGTAGTAATAAAGCCATAATTTGTTGCATTAACAGTTTTTTCAATGCAGTTTTTTTTGTTTCTTATTTTTTTTTTTTTCTATTCCAATAGAACTCCTGCTTATGCCTTGTAGGTGTTTTGCCTTTGTTGTTGCAACAGATAAATTATTGCTTAGTGCATATGTTATGTTGCAAATTATTTGTATGGCAGAAATACTACATAAATTGAGTTTGATTCTAGGTTAAAAAGCTAAAATGGGTAATCAACTTAAAGCAAAAGCAATTCCAACTCAGAGATTTATTTCGTTCTGTGACCTTTGATTATGAAGATAAAAACTCTATTACATAGAATTGGAAAAAGTACTTTCCAGAATGTGGATTTAAGAAAAACGCGTTAATTTTAACAGTTAAGCAATATAAGCTTCATGCTAATTTGCTGAATTTGGAAATTTATAGAAAAATTTATATAAAGCACACACACGATTTTGTATATTAAATAATTGCCTTTTCACAGTTAGTTTTTTTGTTAAGTTCGGTTTATAGGGTGATCCCTACCCCTGTTGGAGAATGGTGTTGTTGTTATTGTTGTTAAGCTATAGGTAGTTTAAAATTAATTCGAACATTAAATGAAATGAGAGTTTAGGGGGAGGAATGGTGTGTATTTTCCGTAACTGTCTGAGTTCCTACAGAAAGTGAGTTTTTCAAATGTTTAATATACATTGAACTTATGACATCTGTAAATTTTCAATTTTCAGCCAATGAAAAGTTGTTAAATGTAATATATTCAATCCCTCGGCTTGTTTTTCTAACCGACAGTAACTGTCAACGAACCCTTTGTAAAATTAATGACTATGCTGAGTATCTGAATTAAGTCCTAAGATTTTAGATTTAAAAGCACCCAATATACATATATTGTTATCTTATGTTTATTCACTATAATTATATTAAAATTAGTACAACTGAAATTAGAACCCAATAGGTATACTAATAAAGAACATAAATAAATTTAATTTCTTCAATTCTGTTCGCATAGAAATTAGACAGAAAAATTAAATATTTCAAAACCTTTTACACTAATTTCGTATAGATTTAAAATTTCAAAAAACATTCATTAATAATATAAAGGTTCGTTGATGCATCAAAGCTTTTAGACCAAATCCTGTCAAATTGTTGCGGGTTGTCAAAGATTTATGTAGTCTGGCCATATCATGATGGAACACAAATCCTTTTACGTTAACCAATTCTGCTCGCTTGTTCTTGACTGTTTCTATCAAGAGTTATGAACAGTAGAGTATCGAACTAACCATTGTACCAGACTGGAGTAGCTCATAATAGACAATTCGCTTCCAATTGCATAAAATACTTAATCTTATTTCCGTTGATAAAGGTTTGAAACCATTATTGTGTGCGCTAAATATTATAATATTTAATCCAATTTTCATCACAATGATTATCTTTAAAAATGATTTCTTTTCATTGCGATTCAGCAGCGTTTTAGTGATGGCAACTAGGTCAATCAAATTTCTTTGCGTTGATTTATATAGTACTCTATTTAAATGTTCAATGTCTCCGCTACCTCGTGACAGCTTGCGTGTGGGTCTAAGTTCACGAGTTTGAAAATTCCATTGGCTTTTAACACGAGTCATAATTTACACAATTATCTTCACAAAACAAAGTAGTCCGAAATGTCACCTTTCAAAACCGTGTGTGTTTGACATAATCTGTTTATTGTTGCCAGATATATGGGTACTGACACCACCCAGTGATGGGAAGAACCGCGAATACTTTTTACATTGCTTAATATTTCTTGAATGTTATAGATTTTTTTTTGGATTATGTTGAAGAATGATTTATTTGGAGTCATTTTGCTTTTTATTTTTTATTTTTTATTTTTTAACTGCTTTTCCCAACATTCTTGCATAATTTTATTATTCCATTC